AATAGATGTATTGTAGTTCTTTATATTATTTTCTACTTTTCTGTATATTTGAAATTTTCATTTAGAAATATGTTTTTATAAACAGTACATAGTATGATTCCATTTATATAAAATTCTAGAAAATATGAACTAATTTATAGTGACAGAAAGGAGATCCATGCTTTCCTGGGGACAGGAGAAGCAGGAAGCATAAGGAAAAAAAGGAGCATAAGGAAAACATTTCTTTTTTAAACCTTCTTGATTATCTTGATTGTGGTGACAGTTTCATGGTTCACAGTTTCATACATATGTCAAAACATCAAACTATATTTTAAACATATACAGTTCATTACATATCAAATTATACTCCAACAAGATGTTAAAAAGTTAGGAAAATATACTTTATTGATAATAAAAGCAGCAGGCTTTCATGAAAAATGAAAAATCTGGAAACAAGAGATTATGGAGATAAAAAACTTAATTGCCCAACTAAAAAGTCCATAGAAACAATGCATAGTAGAATCAATGCTTCAAAAAACAAAATTAGTAAATAAGACCACTTTAAAGAATTTTTCCAAAGTTTAGGGGGGAAAATAAAGGACAAAAAGTTGGGCATTGAAAGAAAAAATAAATTCCAAAAAATAAAGAGAAAACCCTTAGTGTTTCCAAGTCTAAAAAAAAGTTATCTGCAAAAAAAAAAAAAGAATGTGATTATCACCAAACCTAAGTGCCAAAATAATGTGAGATAATATTTACAGAACTCTGAGAGAAAGGGATCACAACTCTAGGATTCTAAACATAGCTAAATTATGGCATCTATGTGACAATCATTAATTATAAGAGTTTTGCCTTGGAAATTATATACCCACATATGATTTCTGGGAGCGGGGGGGAAATTTAGGAGTAGAACTGTTAAATCTCAGTTGGGGAGGACAAATAAAGAAAACTTGATCAACACAAGACAGAAAAGAAAAAAAAACAAAAGGAGAAAAACCTTACTTTCCCTTCCCTCTCCCCCTAAAGCTAATAGGGACCGATGATATCAAATACCACAATAAATATGAATATGTTAAGTTTCTCTATAAAGAGATAAAGAGGCAAACATAATCAGGTCGGGACAAAAGGAAACATCCAATAAGTCAGCAGTTTCCAACCTATGGTGAGTGATATAATTATTTCACTATATATTACAATGTAATAATAATAGAAATTAAGTGCACAATAAATGTAATGCACTTGAATCATCCCAAAACCATCCCTGTTCCATGGAAAAATTGTCTTCCATGAAAATGGTCTCACATGCCAAAAAGGTTGGAAACCGCTGCCATAAGTTATTGTTTATAACAGAACACCCCAAACAAAAAATCGTAACAATACAGAAAATTAAAAGATGAGAAAATAAAAACAAAATAAAACAGCAATGGTAATATTAATATCAAACAGAATCCAAGGTAAAACAGTTAAGTAGAACTAAAAAGGATAAATTAGTCATATCACAGTAAAGCTATATAGTAACATAGCAGTAAAATATATAAATTAAATCAAGTAATCAAAAAAAGGTATAGATAATTTGAATAATATAATTACAAATTTGATTTCATACTCATGTATAGAAGTTTGTATACTACAAAAAATATGCATTTTTTTCAAATGTCCATGGACCTGGTGTAAAACTTAACCACACATTTCCTCACCCACAAGAAAAACTTTAATAAAATCTAAAAAGTAGAAATATTCAAGCTAAATTCTCTGACCATAATTCAATGCAATTTATCACTTTTTACCAGGTTAAAAAGAAAAATACAGTGGCCTGGTTAGCTAAAAAAAACTATGCTTAAATGGTGGTGCAAGTAATAATTTTAGATTCAAAATACTTGCTGGCTGGGTGCGGTGGCTCACGCCTATAATCCTAGCACTCTGGGAGGCTGAGGCAGGAAGATCGTTCAAGGTTAGGAGTTCGGAACTAACCTGAGCAAGAGCAAGACCTCGTCTCTACTAAAAATAGAAAGAAATTAATTGGCCAACTAATATATATAGAAAAACTTAGCCAGGCATGGTGGCACATGCTTGTAGTCCCAGCTACTCAGGAGGCTGAGGCAGAAGGATTGCTTGAGTCCAGGAATTTGAGGTTGCTGTGAGCTAGGCTGATGCCACAGCACTCTAGACTGGGTGACAGAGCAAGACTCTATCTCCCCCCGCCACCAAAAAAAGAAAAAAGTAAAATAAAAAAGCACAGTAAATGAAATAGTGAAGATGTTAAGATGCTGTGTTAGAGCCATATCATTTCCAATTCTTGGCAATGACAAAAAATGCTGCAGTGAATAACCTGTGCATATATATTTTTGTATTGTGAAAGATATAACTTTTCTTTTATGCTTTAAGAACCAGACAAAAATAATGGTATGCAGACAGTTATCTAATAAATTAGCATTCTAGAACTTGGATTAAAAGCAATACACATAGGACAAACTCTAGATATTATGACAGTAGGATTATTTCAAATAGATAAGCTGTAATCTTTCTGATGTGAAGAATCAATTATACTATTTAGAACAAGGCACAATCATTGCCAGCACCTAATTTTTGAATAAATGAATTTCAGGTCATCAACAATTCAGTTTCTAATGAGTTTAAGATAACTTGTATAGATATCTTCTATGTCTAAATCGATTCATTTCCTTCTACCACAGAGTACTTTCATATACTATAATAAGAAAGCTTTAGTTTGTAATCTATGTGAGTAAAAGATAAATCATAGAACTGATTGCAAAGACTGACAACACTTTTAATAGGAAGTATAAGATTTTCAATACTAGGGTGGGATCAAGGAGCCTATGGTAATGACTACCTGTAAGAAAGTAATAACCTAATGCTAAGATAATTAGCATTTATGCCCTGGATATGTTTGAGGGATACTGATTCTTTACACTTTCATTTGTTAATCAATATCTATTTATATTAATAGATGCTAAAAAAGAAACAAAAAATTCTTGTTGCTTGGCTTATTTCTAACATGTCAATGTAGATTTTTTTATTAAGAGAAAAATAATTATGAAAGACGAAGATGGCATCATCATAGAATTATAGAAGTAAAAATAGGTCACTGTCATAAATACTTATTCAGTTTTGATATTTATTACTGTTAATCACATACCACCTTATGATAAAAGTAAAAACAATTTTAATACTTCATTCAAAAGTAAGGATCAATACAACCACTATGTTGAACTTTATGTGCACTATCTCATTAAATCCTTATAACAACCCTATGAGGTAGGTAGTATTTTATAGCAGAGGAAACTGAGAGTTAGCTAGGCTAGTCATTTCCCCCTGTTGTGCCTTTAGTAAGTGGCAGACCTGAGATCTGATATTGGGTCTGACTCTATAGCTTATATTTTTAACACTGGTGCTTTTAAATGAATTAAAGCTGTGGTCCCCAACACCCAGTTTGGGGACTCGTACTGATCTGCGGACTGTTAGGGACCAGGCCACAGAGCTCTGCAACCCACTGTCTTCCCCGGTCTGTGGAAAACTTGTCTTCCATGAAACTTGGGTGGGGTCTGGGGTTGAGGTGGTGGACAGGTAAGTGGCAAGTGAGCAAGTGAAGCTTCATCTGCACTTCATCTGTGTCTACATCCGCTCCCCATTGCTCCCCACCCCCTACCTGTGGAAAAATTGTCTTTTATGAAACCAGTCCCTGGTGCCAAAAGGTTGAGGACTGCTGAATTAAAGGATAAATACACTAAACAGCTTAAATGATTTTTAAAATTACAATGAGAGTTAAATTCTATATGAATGCATTTATGAATCACATTTTTTATAATGCTTCATAGCTTATCCCAATCTCTACTAATATTCATTGTTAACTATTTACCGGGCCTTGTCACTTACCATGCTCACTTAACCATCACAACAACTCTACAAGGTAAGCAATGTTATAATCCACGTATTACAGATGAAGAATTGAAACTTAAAGAAGAAAAGTGCTCCTCTAACACCATACAACATGGATTCAAACTCAAGTCTTTCGGTTCTAATCTTGAGCAAAAATGTACTGTTACCTCTACTTTCGGCAAAATATCTAAATTTGTCTTTAATCAGCAATTACTGATTCTTTACTGATTAAGTTTCTAAAAAAGTAATACAACTTCTGAGAAATACCTGGTACTGGACATATAATAGGAGGAGGTGAATATTTCCCTTTTGCTCAACAAATATTTACTGTCACCCAGTAGATGAGCCAGGCATCATTCTAGGCCAGTGGTGAATGAAGGAGACAAAGTTCTTGCTCTGTGAGTTTATATTTCTTTCCTGAAATGTTTATAGGTCATAAATACACAAAAGGCAGGCAAATGTTTTGACATTCATAAAATGTTATCTTTAAGTTGAGTTCATTTGTGAGACAAATCACTGTATAGCTAAACCCCTGAATGCCTCCATGAAATTCCTCAATTTCTCTGTCTGGGACTGTGTTCTAGTCTGCCCATTGAAATGCATGCCTTTGGCCCTAAGAGTGACTGGGGGAATGAATCCATTCAAGTCATTCCCCAGGACTGGGAATCATCTTGATGCTATTCACCTTTTGCGGAGTACTTAGGAGTTGCATACTAACTATAAAACATAAGGAATAAGGGGGAAAATGTTAAGCATGATCCTGAAAAAAGAACACTGATACAAAAACAACTAGGACAGCCTGAAAACAATCCCTACTAATTTCAACCAGTATGCTAATACCTCCTTCAAGACTTGGCTAAATACATCCTCTATAAGCCAGCACCGAACTCCTCAGGTATAGTTAGTGGGTCCTTGTTCTATGCGCATCCATTGTACTTTGTGATAGTAAGTAATTTGATTAGCAACAAGTCTGTGTATGTCTTTAGGGAAGTACTAAGTAATCAAAAAGTTGAATGAGTGGGCTTTCTTATTTTAAGACTAATCCTATCTAGCTCTAAAAAGATTAGTATAATGATGCTACAGAAATTAAAGAAAGATCAGAAAAATTAAATATATATGCTTCTTACCTTCAAAGACAGGGATCCAGCTAGAAAAAAGTGGTCTACATCAATAACAGAGGCTAAAAATCCAGCTAAAATAATTTCTCCAAAATCAGTCTTCTTCTTGATTCCAGTGACTATTGCCCATGACCACATGCCAATCACACAATGTACTGCATTATCTGAGAAGGCTCGAAGCCAGTCATTCTGCTGAACTGTGGAAAACTGAAGAAGTCTGTCAGCTACAAGACAAAATATCCCCAGACCAAGGCTGGAAATAAGGGATTCAGTGCTACAAGACTGGAGAAGAGCATGGGTTTTCTCAGTCTCAGATGCCATATCTCAGTATATACTAACAGCCATCAGGAATGAATAGTCTGTTCTTGTTTACATTCCCAGCACCCTAAAATAGAAAGCAGAGAAAAATATTAATGATGATATAATGATGATTGATTGTCATATTATATTTAAACAAAATAGTATCAGCACTAATTTCAGAAATATAAAACCAAGTTGTAAAAACTGGCATCTCTTTCTTACATGTGATATACGCCATATAGCCATATGCCATATAGCCCAAATGCCATATAGCCCAAGGATAATAGATTAACTTTGGAGGAACAATAATTTACAGGGTAGTACGTATCAAGGAGAACTTCAGAATGCCCACTGACTATAATCTATTGCTTTGAGGTGGTCAAAGAGTTCTCTCAGCTGTATGTACTACATGGTAGTGAATATCTATTGTGTCTGTATACTCAACAACTACCTTCCATATTCTTCTGACAAGTTTCCCCTTCCTTTGGGAAAACTGTTTATCGCAATATCTAAACTTCAGAGCTGACCAGTTTCCTGTCTTCCTACTAACACTGATTAATCTAGCCACGTGAGGGTTACTCAGGCCGGACCAATCCGACATCTTTCCAAAACTTTCCTTAGTGGAGCTGGTGGAGAAAGCTCCTCATTGAGTCCTTAGGTCCAGTCTCTGAGGTTCTCAGAGCTGCCTTAGACATCTAAACTCACCATTCACTTCTATAAAATACCCCAGCATTTCCTAATAAATCCCCTTTTTATTTCTGTTGCCTCTAACCAGAGTACCTTAACTGATACTCAAAGGCAATCATAATTCTGTGATAGGTTTCTACCTGATACAGAATACTGAAATTATTTATCCAGTTACAGTTATCAATATTATGTGATACTTGAAGTTTTCTGTTTTATATTAATGTTTTAATTCTGAAACTAAAGAATAACTTAATGATTTATTGAAAATGACTCAATTTCCATTCTGCAATAAAACTGTCCATAGCGCATTACACATATTCTAAAATTGAAATAAAAATTCAGAGTACCTAGAATAGGAAAACAACTCTGAAAAAGAACTAAGGTGGAGAACTTAACACCACCTGATTTCAATCAAGACAGTATGTGATCTCAGTGTACAGACAGACAAGTAGATCAACAAAACAGAATAGAGAGTGAGATCAGAAATAGACCCACAGATACATGGTCAATTCATTTTTGACGAAGGTGGAAAGACAAATCAATGGAGGAAGAATATTCTTTTCAACAAATGGTGATTGGGCGACTTCCGGGGCCCCGCTCTTGGGGCCCCAGAACCTTGTCCGCAAATAAAATTTAAAATAAAAAAAAAAAAAAAAAAGAAAAACAAATGGTGATAGAACAATGGGGTATCCATGTGCAAAAATAATGAACCTTAATCCATACCTTACTCCATATGCAAATATTATCTCAAAATAGATCATAAACCTAAATATGAAACATAAAATTATAAAATTTCTGGAAGAAAACAAAATATTTTTGTATTCCTGGGTTATGCAAAGAGTTCTTAGATACAATATCAAAAGGTTGATCCATTAAAAAAGTTGATAAACCAAACTTCATCAAAATTAAAAAACTTGTGCTCTTTGGAAGATAATGTTAAAAAAATGAAAAAACAAGCCATAAACTGGGAGGATATATATGCAAATCTCATATCTGATACAGGATTTGTATCCAGAATATATAAATTCCCAAAACACAGTAATAGAAAAACCAACAAAAAAATGGACAAAAGATTTGAAAAGGTAATTTACCAAAGATAATATACACATAGCCAGTAAGTACATAAAATGTGCTCACCATCACCTAATTTCACCATTAGGGAAATGTACATTAAAACAACAGTGAGCTACCAAACACACTTTATTAAGATGGCTAAAATTACGCATAGGAAATGTTACCTTGGAAAGCAAAAAATAAGGAAAAATTAAAATTTTTAAAGTTAAAAATTAAAAAGAAAAGATGGTTAAAATTAAAGACTGACAATCCCAAATGTTAGCAAAGATGTGGAGCAAACAGAACTCTTATACACTGCTGGTGGAAATAAAAAACAGTATGAGCACTTTGGAAAAATAGTTTTCCAGTTTCTCAAAAAGTTAAACATATTCCTACTGTTAAACCCAGTCATTCCACTCCTAGGTATTTTCCCAAGACAAATTAAAGCATACGTGTATACAAAGACTTACATGTGAATGTTCCTAGCAACTTTACCTGCATTAGTTCCAAATATTTATCAACATGTGTATGGATAAACAAAATGTGGAATAAAGAGAAATAAGCGATACAAAAACATGAATGAATCTCAAAAATAATTATACTAAGTCAAAGAAGCCAAACCAAAAAAAAAAAAAAAAAGTACATAGGTTCAAACTAGTTAAACCTATAGTAGCGTACAACCAAATGGTGAACCCAATGTAAACTATGACTTCAGTCAATAATAACCTATCAAAATTGGTTCATTAATTGTAACAAACGTACCACACTAAGCAAATGTTAATAATGGGGAATGTGTGCAGAGGCAAAGGAAGTATACCAAAACTATCAGTAATATTTTTGCAATCTTTCTGTAACCTGAAACTGCTGTTTAGGTTTATAAAGTTTATATTTTTAAAATTAAAAAATAAGGTCAGGCCGGCGCTGTGGCTCACGCCTGTAATCTAGCTCTGGGAGCCGAGGCGGGCGATTGCTCAAGGTCAGGAGTTCAAAACCAGCCTGAGCAAGAGCAGACCCCGTCTCTACTATAAATAGAAAGAAATCAATTGCCCAACTGATATATATATATAAAAAATTAGCCGGGCATGGGGCGCATGCCTGTAGTCCCAGCTACTCGGGAGGCTGAGGCAGAAGGATCACTCGAGCCAGGAGTTTGAGGTTGCTGTGAGCTAGGCTGACGCCACGGCACTCACTCTAGCCTGGCAACAAAGCGAGACTCTGTCTCAAAAAAAAAAAAAAAAAATAAGGTCTATCAATTTTTAAATTAAATGAAGCAAATATGGAAAAATACTATAATTGCTAAATCTAAGTAATAGATGTATTGTAGTTCTTTATATTATCTCTACTTCTCTGTATATAGAAATTTTCATTAGAAATAGTTTTTATAAACAGTACATAGTATGATTCCATTTATATAAAATTCTAGAAAATATGAACTAATTATAGTGACAGAAAGGAGATCCATGCTTTCCTGGGGACAGGAGAAGCAGGAAGCATAAGGAAAAAAAGGAGCATAAGGAAAACGTTTCTTTTTTAAACCTTCTTGACTATCTTGATTGTGGTGGACAGTTTCATACATATGTCAAAACATCAAACTATATTTTAAACATAACATTCATTACATATCAAATTATACTCCAACAAGATGTTAAAAAGTTAGGAAAATATACTTATTGATAATAAAAGCAGCAGGCTTCATGAAAAATGAGAAATCTGGAAACAAGAGATTATGGAGATAAAAAACTTAATTGCCAACTAAAAAGTCCATAGAAACAATGCATAGTAGAATCAATGCTTCAAAAAACAAAATTAGTAAATAAGACCACTTTAAAGAATTTTCCAAAGTTTAGGGGGGAAATAAAGGACAAAAAGTTGGCATTGAAAGAAAAAATAAATTCCAAAAAATAAAGAGAACCCTTAGTGTTTCCAAGTCTAAAAAAAAGTTATCTGCAAAAAAAAAAGAATGTGATTATCACCAAACCTAATGCAAAAAATGTGAGATAATATTTACAAGAACTCTGAGAGAAAGGATCACAACTCTAGGATTCTAAACATAGCTAAATTATGGCATCTATGTGACAATCATTAATTATAAGAGTTTTGCCTTGGAATTATATACCCACATATGATTTCTGGGAGCGGGGAAATTTAGGAGTAGAACTGTTAAATCTCAGTTGGGAGGACAAATAAAGAAAACTGATCAACACAAGACAGAAAAACAAAAGGAGAAAACCTTACTTTCCCTTCCTCCTCCCCCAAATAATAGGGACCGATGATATCAAATACCACAAAAATATGAATATGTTAAGTTCTCTATAAAGAGATAAAGAGGCAACATAATCAGGTCGGACAAAAGGAAACATCCAATAAGTCAGCAGTTTCCAACCTATGGTGAGTGATATAATTATTTCACTATATATTACAATGTAATAATAATAGAATTAAGTGCACAATAAATGTAAGCACTTGAATCATCCCAAAACCATCCCTCCCCATCCCTATTCCATGGAAAAATTGTCTTCATGAAAATGGTCTCACATGCCAAAAAGGTTCGAGACGCTGCCATAGTTATTGTTATAACAGAACACCTCAAACAAAAAACGTAACAATACAGAAATAAAAGATGAGAAAATAAAACAAAATAAAACAGCAATGGTAAATTAAATACAAACAGAATCCAAGGTAAAACAGTTAAGTAGAACTAAAAAGGATAAATTAGTCATATCACAGTAAAGCTATATAGTAACATAGCAGTAAAATATATAATTAAATCAAGTAATCAAAAAAGGTATAGATAATTTGAATAAATAATACAAATTTGATTTCATACTCATGTATAGAAGTTTGTATACTACAAAAAATATGCATTTTTTTCAAATGTCCATGGACCTGTGTAAAATTAACCACACATTCCTCACCCACAAGAAAAACTTTAATAAAATCTAAAGTAGAAATATTCAAGTAAATTCTCTGACCATAATTCAATGCAATTTATCACTTTTACCAGGTTAAAAGAAAAATACAGTGCCTGGTTAGCTAAAAAAAACTATGCTTAAATGGTGTGCAAGTAATAATTTAGATTCAAAATACTTCGCTGGGTGCGTTGCGCTCACGCCATAACCTAGCACCTGGAGGCTGAGGCAGGAAGATTGGTTCAAGGTTAGGAGTTCGAAACTAACCTGAGCAAGAGCAAGACCTCGTCTCACTAAAATAGAAAGAAATAATTGGCAACAAAAATATATAGAAAAATAGCCTGGCATGTGGCGCATGCCGTAGTCCCAGCTACTCGGGAGCGAAGACAGTAGGATTGCTTGAGCCCAGGATTTTGAGGTTGCTGTGAGCTAAGCT